TGAGAAAATGAATCGAGAGATTTTAGGTTCGTGTTCCTCCTTTATAAACTCTTCATTCTGGTTTGATTTATTGTATATTACTCAATATTTTCCGCATAATCAGTGTTTTAATTGTAAAATTTTTAAAGGTAAAAAAATTTGTTTGCGAAGAATGTTACATAAAGCAGATATAAAATTAAATAATAAATTAAAATAATTTTTTTTATAGAATTATAGACATAAAGCTTTTTAATCAAACAAATAAAAATAAAAAAAGATATGAATGTAATTAATCTACGAAGTTTTCTTGCAAAATTTCAGTTCTCTACGGTCAGAACATTATGCTGATTTTGTACCGATTCGGTCTGTCATTAATTCAGCAACATATCATGCATATCCTATTATAATTCATATATTGCTATTATTAAATAAAACGCATATGTATTTATATGTATCTATATATGTATCTACTTCATTACAGGTATTACACGAGCATATGAGTATATGAGTAATTTAAATAAATGCATAATTCAGTTAAATTGAAACATGAGATCCAATATGCACGGATAAAACCGCAAAGGAATGAAATTTTCATTTAGATGAACAAAATCATTTATGTTATATATTATGCCGCCAAATATTTATGACATTTACTTCTAGCAATATAATGCAAAGTAACAAATTAGATTAGATAAGGATTTTTGACGTTTCCATCTATGTTTTTGCATCTACTATTTCTTGTAATATTGCTTTCTTTTATGCAAATAGAATCGAGTGTTTTAAAAATCTCGAAACTATTTCAAAGTAAAGATTTGAATAGCGATACATATTGAAATTGAATAATAAAATTTAATAATAAATCTAATAATTTAAACAATATTAAGAATATTATTCAGCGCTCGAAATCAGTATATAATTTTATAAATATGTCGGCTGTAGGAACGCGATAAAACTTATATAGGCGAGAAAAATTATTAACCAACTTTCGGACCGATATTTTTCTCGCCTTGCTTTACAGGGGGATTAAAAGGAAAGGTAGAGATCTAAACCAAAGATATTATTCCTAATAAGCGAAAAAATTAATTTTCACAATAACCGACGCAAAAAGACATCGCGTTAGGCTCCTACGGCCTATTTATAAAATAAATATATTTGATAAAATTACATATTTATTTATAAAATGTATAAAATGATATGCTAATAATTTAATATCATTTCAATTGAAAATTGAATGCAATTTAACATCACAAATTTTGAAAGCCAAATTTGGAGAAATAATGAAAACTTGACATTCCTAGGAATATTCGCGCCATGATATTCTTGCAAATATTTTCTCTATATATCTTTCGCCAGATATCAGGCACGTGGATAATTGCATTACATTGCTGCTTGCACATGTGAAGGGGTAAAAAGCCATTATTCGTGACAAGCACTCGGTTAGCGTAAAGTAAAGTGTACGCCATATGTACATAGTAAACATTTTGTACCGAGAATTAATGTATTCGTCGTGTGCATATGTACATACATGTGCGTATACGTGTACGCGATGTGTATATCTGGTTACGAGAGCAACACTATGTTTAAATATTGAAATAAAATGAGAGAGAGGCTCTCACTCACGAATTCATCATCGCCCGATTAAAGTCCCATCCATTACGATATCGTTTTGTCAGAAATTCACCCTGCCCGGAATTAAAAACGCATTTCCGATGCATATGACGTATGCGTGTTGCACTTGAAAATTGAATAATTGCACCGAAAAAAATTGTTTTCTTGAAATGCATATATACTTTATAAGTCCTCTACTAGATATTCTTAAGTAAGGATATTTCCCTCTTTACGTGATGCTTTTAGAAATATCCTCTTATATTATATTAAAAATATATTCTTCATTTTCTTTTTGCAACTTTAGTTCCGCGATAAATACATATAATAAATAAATAAGAAATTTAAAATAATTTTATGTTAATTAATAAAATAAAATAATCATTATAATCGTGGGAGAATTTTATAATTTTATATAAAATAATTAATAAAATATAATTTATAAGTTACAATTAACATTAAAAATAATAATATAATAAGCAATATAATACACTTATAAAAACACGTCACATTAATTACATATTCTTGCATGTTAAGAATATCTAATAAGAATATTTAATAAGAATATCGTTTTAGAGAATTTGCCTCTTAAATTAAAAAGATCCTTTTGACTCCTTTTAGTGACAGATATTATAAATGTAAGTGGTACATATTAAGATAAAAATACAATTTTGTCGGTGTGAAATTACGCTGCTCATATTAACTTAAACCGATTTAAGTTACTGTAATTTGTCGCCAAGGGATATATATATATATATATATATATATATATATATATATATATATATATATACACAGTCGTGTCAATAATTCCATGATGTTACATTATGTACTATGAATATGTGCAATTTAGCTTAATTAAAAGGGAAATTATTAATCTCACACTTTGTTTGATAATTGAATGCAATTTAACATCACAAATTTTGTAATTAATCGAAAACGCGAAATTTCACATTTTGTTAATACCATTATGTCGATATAATTGTAATGGAATCGCTTATTGCGATTTATATCTATAGTGTAACGAGGTACTTTATGCAATTTCGATGCATAATAATAAATGTGAAAAATATTATTGTGTTGTAGAGTATTACAAATAACTTTTTAAATGCCTAAAATGTTTTGATTTGAGTGTATATAAAAACGTAAAGTAGATTTTCGCTAAAACATGAAAAATATTTGTAACTTTGAACAAAATATATTTGCAAATTTTAAGCAACAGATGTATGTATATCCACTTTTGTCAAATATTTATATATTATTTTTTGAATAATTAAAAGTGAAATTAAGAAATTAAAAAAATTAATGTTAATAATCTAACCTTTCTCTTTAATCTTCTATATTATTTTACATGCAAGGTTTCATCTTTTATAAACTACTGTAAGCTTTCTTGACGTTTTCAGTCTCTAAAAAGAGCATATATACGTCGAATATCTTAGAGATCGTACTTTGCTACGTGAGTTGCATATATCACATTAAATATTAATCGTGTAAGTGGAAACGATGTCATCAGCAGCATTCAGAGCACTCTCATTTCACGAGCAAAGCTAAGAAGAATATTTTCAAAGAACTTCACCTTGCTCAAGGTATGTATATGGAATCAGTCGAATAAGTCACAATAATATTATATTAAAATATAATTTTTGTGTGTCGTTGCACACAATCTATTTTAATTGGCGTCTTGAACCGATTTCGAGGATCTTCGAAGAATAATCAATTATATGAGATTCAACGAATTCTTCTAGCTTCGTGCGAATTATCTCGTGCAAATTCGAAAGAAATATGACTTGTATTGAGTAGAGAAAGATTTTTTAGATATATGAAATATCTCTCTTATACAGTACACTTTCGTCAACTGAAACTGTCCGGCACTCTTTTCCACAAGTAAAGATAGAGGAAAATGGTAAAAGACCATCTTATATGATTTTGGCGTTATTCAATTTCTCTTGTAATCCCATTTCTTTTGCAGGGATATATTCTGCAGCACATATTTTTCTTCATTTTTCTCGAAATTCACATGGAAAAGACTGACGTCACATTTCAATTCTCCGTAATCTTTCTACGCTAATACATATTCGAAGTGTGGAAATATATCATATAAATGTTTAAATCAATGCGGTTAACTGATGTGCTGAAATCAGTGGTGCAATTAATTAATTGCACAAGGAATAACGAGAATGAGAAATATAAAGTAATCATCCTGAGCAAATGCATGAAAAAAATTTCCATGGTCTTAATTACATACTGAATACAATTACTAATTAATTAAAATTTTACATACATGTGCGTTATGTATTTTTCATTTGAGGAATTAAAACAATTCCGAAAAAGAATAGAATAAAATTGTATTTACTGCACAAATTCTCGTCTCATACGAGATTACAAGGTATGGAAAATTTAATTTCAAGTATATTAAATAAAATTTAACAATAAAGTCACATTTAATAAAATTAAAATTGATTTGTCGACTGATATATCAAACGCGGAAATCAAAAACATTCAAAGGAAGAGAAGATTAATTGTCATAATTGACAGGGTTGGGCAGATATATATCTTAAAGCATTTGAGATACGCGTATTTAAATATATGTCTTATTTAAATACAGTATTTAAATACCGAATAATCAAGTATTTCGAATTTTGTAATTAATTATTTAATTCAAATGTATCTTGTATTTAAATGTATTTATGTAATTACATTGCTATTATACAATAAAATCATCTACTAAAAAAATTTCATTTTTTTAAATAATAGTAGATAATGTTTTTGTAATTACTTTATTATATAATATATAATCAGAAAATTAAAAAAATAATTGTTATAAATGTATTTAAATATAGTTAGTATTTAAATATATTTCAAAATTAAAAAGTATTTCAATAGTATTTAAATATATGTCAAAAAGCATCTTGTATCTTGTATTTAAATATTTTGTTTCGAAGTATCTGGCGAACCCTGATTGGCAGAAATATGATATATGGAAATTTTTCTCATAGAAGAGCGAGAAAAATTTCATTTTTTTAAATAATAGTAGATAATGTTTTTGTAATTATTTTATTATATAATATATAATCAGAAAATTAAAAAAATAATTGTTATAAATGTATTTAAATATATTTCAAAACTAAAAAATATTTTATTAGTATTTAAATATATGTCAAAAAGTATCTTGTATCTTGTATTTAAATATTTTGTTTCGAAGTATCTGCCGAACCCTGATTGGCAGAAATATGATATATGGAAATTTTTCTCATAAAAAAGAGCGAGAAAAGATGACGAACTTTGGCGCGAAATCGTCTCTCGCGCGCGATCTAGGATGTTTGATCGCGCGACGAAGTATTCCAAGTGAAACAGCTCGCAGTATAATCAGACGCGAAGTGCTGATCGCATGCGAGAACGCGTCAGGAATCACTAACCTCGATCCTCCGTGGCCGTGTCTCCCGCTGCTCTCGTCGTCCTCGTCGTCCTCGTCGTCCCTCGAAGTAGCCAGCGACTGGGGAACCGAAGAGGGAGCGCTGCTGCCGGAATCGGGCCCGGGGCCCATCCTCGAACCGGAAGCACCGCTGCAAGACGGCGCCAGACCACCCTCTCCCTGTCCTTCCTCCTTCTCCCGGTCCACCTATAATTTTACAAACCGAGATTTTTTTTTATGAAAATATACTTTATATAAATATATTTTTTCACGTCTATTTCGCAATAGACGGACCCTTTTTAATTCCTCCCTTTTAGCTCAAATATGCAGGGTGTATGTAAATAAATGCGAAAAATTTTAGGAAAATTAAGGGAAATTTCTTATATAAACATACATATACTCTAAAAATAACAAACATTTTTAAAATTTAAATAGGATTTATTGGTTTCACCCCTTTATAAAGATACAGGAAAATCAAAAAAAATATTAATAAATATCCTTTTTATTAGTACAAAATATCCACTAATTTTTATTTCTTTAATTTGTCTGAAATTTGAAAGAAAAAAATAAAAACTTTATTTTTACTTTAAATTGTTCGCACACACACACACACATATATATATATATATATATATATATATATATATATAAATTATTTATAAATTTGTAATTTAAATTCAAGCATCTCAATGACACTTTAAGATAAGGTGGAATTAAATTGATTTTAGTTTAATTAGTTTCATTAAGAAGTCGAAAGCTTTAGAACTGACGCACATAAAAGCACAGATATAACTGATGATGAGTTTTTTGTGTGTCCAAAAAAAAACACGGAAAACGTGATGGCTTTTTCATCATGTCATTTACACAATGTCGAATTTATTCGTTCTGTAATACGAAAAGGTTCTAAACATCGTAAATGTCAGCGTTCAATAACACGCGGTGTTTGATCAAATAATTTAAAAAGAAATTTTCCATTGCGTATTTTTCGTTTAAAATAATAAACAAAATATTTATTACAAATATTTGGATTCATATATTTTTCGATTATTTTCGGTATCTTATTTCGCTGTGGAAAATTTATCATATTGCCGAGAGCTATAGATAAGATCTTTGTTCGAGGGAGCATTCGATCGGAATGCTCTCATTTTTCCGTGAGCAATCATGCGTATGTTGCGGAAAGCTTCGATCGACACGTTCCAAGTGAACCGGTAACATCAGATCATATCTAATCAGGACGAGACCTATCGGATGTTAACGCTTCCTGCTGTTTTCGTCTTCGTAGATCGATTCCAAACAGAAATTATTGATAACTGGCTAATCGAGAAATGGAGAATTTGCGATTGTAGGAAGTTACAAAGTTAGATGATGGGTTGCCTCATCGGGAAAAAGCGGTAAACAGGATAACGAATATGTAATCTACTTTAACACACTTTACTACAACTGCAGTTTTAATCAGCTTTGACACCCAGAACATACTATGAAGTCATTGGGAGAAACAAAATTGGTGACATTAAACGCACATTCAATTTTTGCAGACATATATCTTTCGACTAATTTAAAGTCAAGCTTGTTTCCTATTTATAAAAGTTCGCATTTAAGAATTATCATTATTCTTACATTTTCAAAATTAATTTTTAATATTAAATATTTTCAGGATAAAAATTTTTAATTAAAATTCTATCAAAGTACATATAATATCCATTTAAAATTAAATGAAAAGAACATAAGAGCATTGCAGTTTATTTGGATATACTTGAATTTCTGTGTAAGAAGTTCTCGTTTTAATTTCTATAGTTTTAATTCCAAATTCTACAGACATTTTCATTAAGAAAAGATTTTTAATTTTGCCGGATAATCTGTTGTGACAATTAACGCCGTGAGTTGGATGTTCTGCATATTTCATAATTCTCCAGACGCAGGAGATGTGAGAGAGAAAATGCGTAATAACATGACAAAGACAAAAGTTGTTTACAGTCAAAGCTGAAGATGACGCGATCGTGAATTCACAGCTGCAGATATAGTTTAATTAACAAGAAGTTACACTCTGTCCTTCCTTTAATAAATAATATTTTCTTTTCATTAATCAGTATAGATTGTTCGTCACTTAACTACTCTAAATTGTGATTCTCGTAGACATCCTACAACAACGCATTTTACAAAATTCAATTTGTTTATACAATATTATTTTTATTTAAAATATATATATATATTTTTTGTATGCATTTTATATAGATGTTTCTCCCTCTTTTATACCTTTCATTAATTTATTTTTTAATGAATCCCAATGAAAGAATTGTTTCCGTAAATAAGTCGCATTACAGAATCCAATACCGACACATGTAATCGAACCTACGTATAAAGCTCGAGAAATAGATTTGTCTCTCGATACCACTGCGGTCGGTTAAAACCTGCGTTTCGTTTTAGGATCCGGCTTTGGAGCCTTCTATTTTGTTCCAATTCGAGGCCTTAGCAGCTTAATTCTATTTGGCCGGGAAAATGCGGGCTATTTTTTCGAGAAAATGTGCCTTTTTCGCTACAATTCGGTAGAAAATCGATTTGCGCGATTATAACAAACGCGATTATTTATTGTAATATATAGAACTCTTTTATGCGATTTTGTCTTGAAAGAACAAGTTGGCGCAACTTGTGAAAAACACCCGGGTTAAGTAGCAATTTTTCCTCGCCTGTTTTTAGCGCGTGTAAAAGTGACTTTATTTCTAATAAATAGGTCGAATGCGTTAAAAACGCATACAATTCTTTTAGCAGTTTAATTCTATTTGGTTGGGGAAATGCGGGATATTTTTTTCGAGAAAATGTGCCTTATTCGCTATAATTTGGTAGAAAATCAATTTGCAAATATAACGAACGTGATTATTTATTTTAATATCAAACTCTACTTGCTCATTTTTAATCAATCTACACTTTATGCGGTTCTGTCTTGAAAGAACAAGTTGGCGCAAAACTTGTGAAAAACATCCAGTTAAGTGGCAACTTTTCCTCCGCCCGTTTTTAGCGCGTGTGATTTTATTTCTAATAAATAGGTCGAGTGCGTTAAAAACCTATACAAATCGTTTGTACGTAAAAAAAGTGTTACACGCTTGTACGTAGAAATGTTTAATGTGTCGAAAGAAAAGCGATACGCGGATGAATTCCCCCGGTACATTCATACGACATCCGTGCATATGAATCAGACAAACAAGTAGTCATATAGAATATGCATAGAAAATATGTATGTATATGTGTATGAGACACGTATAGAGATGTGAGATAAAAGTGTAAGTACACGTATATATGTATATACAGAGTGTCCCAGAATCGGCGGAAAAGTTTTTTATGACAGATTCCTGCTATCATTTGAAGACGATTTTTCCTTAGTGAAAATGTTGAGGCTGTCATTTTTAGCATGTTCCCAATTTTTTGTTATTTTTTATGTATCTTTATAACTAAGCCTCATATTAAAACTTTATTAAAACAAACTCTATCTAAAATTAACTGAAGAATGCAGTTCTGTTAATATTTTATTTCCACAAGGCTCAGTTTCCAAAAAGCCTTTATTTTCAACCGCTTGTAATTCGAAAATTATTGGTGTTTCGACATTTTCGCTGAGGAAAAATCGTCTCCGAACCAGGAATCTGCCATTAAAAACTTTTCCACCAGTTCTAGGACACCCTGTATATATATATATATATATATATATATATATATATGCATATATATGTATATACAACGCGGCACTGCAGTTGTCAGTGATGCTGCAGCCATTTCGATCTACATATTCGTCAGAATTTTGCCGGAGCGCATATGCAGAGAAAGGGATGGAGAATGCATGTCAGTATATTTCATTTTGTTTTAAATTCAAATAATATTAGGGAGAAAGCGGGAGAGAGAGAACGCCCGATAGCGCATTAAATTAAATTGCTAAACGGCTTGTCCGTCTTCCGTTCATTTCTTTCGACACTCATCCGAACGTGCAAAACCGACCGACGTCGAATAATATTCGTTCGAATAACAAAGCGAACGTTAAATGTAAATGGAAGAGATATATCGTTTTGTCGATAAACGAAATATCGAACGTATCGCTGTTGACATAGTATTTACATATTATCGTATTACGAATAATGTGTTCTCGAAGCTAGCTAAAGAGTTACGATAGCGAAATGATCTCGCTGCGCGATAACGAAGATTGCTTTCAGCGATTTTACGACAATCGTCATGGAAAATCTGTATGTACATACGATACAGTATGTACAGTACTGCTTAATATAATTATATACAACTTGGATGTGTGGACCATGTAGTCTTACAATTGGAACTTGCGGTACTGAACTAGTCTTGAAAACGTTCAACAATATCGAGGAAGAGAGAGAGAGAGAGAGAGAGAGAAGAATATTTCTGTGTGGTATGTATATATATGCAAATATATTGTATATATACAGAAGTTATACAATAGTTAGTCGACCAATATGGATAGTATAGCTTCGAATTAGACACGTTGCCATTGTTCTCCGCTTTTGTTCCAAAGAACGGGAACTTAATAGTGTCCGGGTAATAATAATACCTTTGTGCTAAAACACACCCTCTAGAATATAACTTGCACTCTTCTCTCTCTCTCTCTCTTTCTTGTGTCACGTACATTATTATAGGTATTCGCTAAAAGCCGCTATATCGTTAAATCCTGTAATGCCATAAACTACATCATTATATTTTTCTCAAGTCCACAGTTTGTCATGTTTAGCACGTTTCCGATATTTATGTATAATATACAGGGTGTCTCAGAACTGGCGGGAAAGTTTTTAATGACAGATTCCTGGTATCATTCGCAGACGATTTTTCCTCAGCGAAAATGTCGAGACACCAATAATTTTCGAATTATAAGCAGTTGAAGATAAAAGGCTTTTTGGAAATCAAGTCTTGTAGAAATAAAATAACAGAACTACATTCTTCAGTTAATTTTAGGTACAGTTTGCTTGAATAGAATTTTAATATAAGGCTTTGTTATAAAGATACATAATAACAAAAATTGAGAACATGCTAAAAATGATGGCCTCCCTCAACATTTTCACTAAGGAAAAATCGTCTCCAAATTATACTAGGAATCTGCCATTAAAAACTTTTCCGCCAGTTTTGGGACATCCTGTATACAAGGTGTATCTAAATAAGTGCGAAAAATTTTAGAAGATGATTCTTTGTCGAAAATTAAGAAGGGT